CCTCGATAAATTCAATTTTATTTGAAAAATTGCAAATTATGATGCATTATTTTCATTTTTTGTATGTTTCTCTGCTGCATTTAACTGTATTTGCTATTTATTCATCTCATTTTTACCTCGAGTGCGTGATCGAAGGAGGTATCGAGCCCAGCAGTGATAGGTGACGAGGGAGGAGGAGTGACAAATGTAGGTAAATCAATAATGGGGGAGGTAGTGTAAGGATTTGGTTCAGTTAAATGATCTATTATTAATTTGGAAATCAATATTGTCATGATCAACTAATTATTTTATTGCAAATTCACAAGACATGTCTTTGCTATGCTTGGGAGCGCAATACGGTTAGACATAGCTAGAATATCAATAATAAAAATTGTTGATATCTTGAAGCATTTTTCATTCCCTTCAGTAGTTCCTAATAACAAATGGATTTTTAATCACTACAATATTGATAGATGAAAGAGATTTCTTTCCATAGACACTTCGAGATCAAGTATTTTCATAATAGATAATGTGTTGATTTATTGTTCAGATTTCATTGAAGTAACTACATGATTGTTGTGAAGTTATGGTGTTTTGGTATTATTTCTAAAATCGATATCTATCAAATTGTATTACTTGGAGAATTTGAATATCTCTTTTATAAAATTTACCATTGTTTTTCTCATTACATTTTAATAAATCTGTGTCACTTAATTTTATTGAGTTGTTTGTTATCCTGAGTCCATGGCAGGGTTTCCTACAGAATTCTAAAATTAATTGTAAATGATGCCAAAGGGAATGTACAAAAACATACTGTACATATAATTGGTAGAGATATCTTTACGTCATTAAGCCCACCACCGCTCAGTTTAATTTCACTTCCGTCCGTTCGGTCGCAGCACTAACGCTTAGCCGTGAGAATTATCACGTAGTTTGGCAGCCGGAGTGGCCCCAAGCATGTGCTTTGTTGTTGCATACGCACCTGTTGGAAACAGTCGATACTTTTGTTGATTTGGAATTCGTGATTGTTCATATTGAAACATTCTGATGGTGACAAGGAATCAGGATTGAGGTATTCGTTGTCAAATTGTCTTAAATACAAATGCATCTTATATGTTAATAGGGCCTCTATTTCTTTTCGTGGTTAAATTCCTTTGTTTATTACAGAATTAAGCCTTTTGAATACGACTGGATCTAAAACCAAACTCATTTAACTTGGGATATTCATAATCAGGACATAATCTTAAAGATTTGCTGTCCACGATTGGATCTGCTCCGGCCTCAGTTATAAATAAGAATGTGACGCAACCCCTCTTGACGTTAACAACCTAACCGATTGCCGTCTTGTTTTCCTCGACCGTAACATTTTTAGGAAACTGTTGTCGGCAGTGCCGGAGCTATACAATTTTGCTCTGGAGCAATGCTGACTCCCTTCCCCAAAAAAATTTTAAATGCCAAAGTTGATACGAGTTATTTTATTTCAATAAATAACAGAAATTATAACGGTTGTTTTGAAAGAAAATTTTAAAATTATTCAATGAGAATAATTTCATAGACTGCCTTTCTTGTGTTAAAAAAAAAAAAAAGAAAAATTGGAAGTCTTTAAATTTTTTAGGCAGACATTCTCGTAATAATTTTTTATTAAATTTATACAATTTTAGACCTATGTTTCGAAGGTCATTGGCCTTCATCTTTATGGTCTAATAAATATAAGCGAATACAATATTTATTAAAGAAATCTACAAGCTGTGACATATTGTTTAAATTAATCTGACACGTTTTTTTCAATTTCTGTTTTGTTAATTAATTAATAATTCACCCGAATAAAATAATGCAATATTTTATGCGAGTTTGAAATCTCATGTTTTTGTACTATATACACAGCCTCCTATTATTTATGAAATATTATATTAAAGCCACCTTTTTCAAGAAGAACTTTCACTTTTCAAAACATAATGGCATTCATTTTTATGGGGGGGGGGGTTCAGCGTTGCCCCTGCCCAAAATTGTGTAGCTCTGGCACTGCAGACAACCGTTTTCTAAAATAATGCCGCTTTCACGTTACTCAAATTTTAAAGGTGGGGGCTGGTTTCCAGAGAGGATGCAAATTCAGTACTCCCTGGGCATATAACGTTGTTAATGAAAACAATTTCATTACAGCTTTGTTTAATTAATATTGTATTCACTTATATATATTAGACCCTGAATAAGAAGGCCAATGACCTTCTTTAGACCGTTAAAATTTGTATAAAATTAATAAAAATGTATTATGTGAATGTTGTTATATACATGAAATAATAAATGTGAATTTCAGTAGAACCTATTTTAATAACGTCATTTGATTACATACATTTTTCCATTTCATAGATACATACATTCTACTGTAATTGTTACACTCATTGTCTTTAATATTCATATATTGGAATATGATTATTATTTAATAAAGTTACTTTTTGTCAACGATTTGCAATCATTGTATTAACTTACGTTATTTTCAACATCAATATTATTTGATTCTTTTACTACAAATGTATAAATGATGCTAAATTATTAATCTGTTGACATATATTGCTTTTAATAATATATATTAAATTAAATGAATCGTTGTAGTCTCAATGTGGATTTTGAATTTCAATGGAACAAATTAACGTATTTTGATCATTTATGTATTTTTCCATTGATAAAAATTCTAAATAGAGTTTTTCAATTTTTTTACCAATATTTTCTCATTAGCCCCATCATTGCGGCCTCAGTGGATTGACTGGTACACTCATGCCTAGCGCCAGCACTGATGGTCTGCCAATAAAATGTTTTAAAAATATAAGATCATCCCCGAACAAGCCCTGATGAAACCCAAAAGGACATACCCAACAACTGAGATATCAGTAGAAAATTAAAATAAACTTGAGAAGCAAGATATGAATTGATTACTGTTATCAATTCAAAAGTCATAACTCAACATTTAGCAACGCTATTTGTTACCTATTTCTGACGCCCTTTTTTGTTGGTTTTTTTGCATAAAATATGGCATTAAATTGAGTGAAAACATGCAAAATATTCTTAAGAAACCTTTATATACTCATGGGTTCATATTTACTAATTAAAATAATTATTTTTACAAGACTTCATAAAATTAATACACGTTTTGCATTGATCTTAGATGCAGCCCCTACAGAGTGCTGTGTGCGTCAAGGTTTTTGTCTGTGTTCTCACACACCTGAAATTTGTCTCACCTATGGATCTAATAGGAGATAGTGCGTGCATATGTTTTTTTCTTTCCATCATCTATTCTTGGGATGCCTGACTTTCTTGGTTCCAGACAATTGTCTAGTTTGAGCTGCAATAGCACAAAGTTCAAGCTTCATATTCCCAAAAATTCATAAAATCTACTTTCTCTTAGGGGACATTTATTATTAAGCACGATGAAAATTTTATTTATTTACGCCAATCGGCTTTATCCATTTATGTTATAATACAATTTGCAGTTATAATATATTACTTAATTCACACTGATGAATACAGTCATCTGTAGAAATACAATACTTTATCAAATTTAATGTTTTTCATCTTTGATAAAATTGTAGATGTAGAATCTCAAAAAATTGATTTCTGAACAGTACTTATTTACCAGGCTAACTATCCTGTTTTTAGGCCTCGACATACGTAGTTTTTCTATGATTTCACTGCATTCAATAACCTATACGATCTCAAACCTGGTTTTTTGGGCATATAATTGGATTGTTCCAATATCTCTGGGCAATCAATTTGTCCATTGATAGTCTTATAAAAAAACATAAGATCCGAAATTTCTCTCTGGGTTTATCAGACTGTCGATGTTGAAAATCCTCGAAGACCTTCTCGACGCTTATATTTATATCCTCTGTTCTGCATGTAATATGTGATGTATTTGTAGATTTTTCTTAGTTTTTTCCACTTTACCAATAAAGAGATTTGTATTATGATGCCCAACAACTGTGCAGTATTCAAGTCTTGAACAGACCAATGTCGAATATAATTAATAAGTGTGCGCACATCGTTAAATTCTCTACCCGACTAAGTATAAATCCGAGTATTCTGTAGGCTTCTGATGTGATCGTTGTCTACGTGTCTCGAGAAAGTCAACTTATTATTCGATTATGACACCCCAATCTTTCAAAGATGCGACTTCCTGAAGTTGATGTTCCTCAAGTTGGTATGCCATAGGTCTTCGATGGAATGAACAGAGTGAAGGACATCACACACACTTATCAATATTCAACTTTAGCTTGTTTACCCTAAACATTTGCTTAGTTCGTTAATGTCTTGTTGAAGAATGTTGACATCCTCATCATCAGTTATTTTTCTACAAATTTTCAGATCATCAGTGTATAACAAATAGTCTGATTTTAGTGTATTACCGATGTGATTAATAAACATTATGAAAAGGATTGGCCCTAGGTGTGAACCTTGTGGAACACCAGAGGTTACTTTATATTTAGTCGAAATATGGCCATTTACTCGAACCTGCCAAATCTTTCCGTCAAATAAGAACGAAACCAGTTCAGAGCTTTACCTTGAATGAAAATGAAGGTGAAAATTACCAAGCGAAATTTGTAAATATTAATTGTTATGGTTCATTATTACATACATGTTCTATTGATTTAATGAATTGTTATTAAGGAGAAATGAACTCCTTTCTTTTTAAATAAATTATATTCACTAGAAAATTAAAATTAAGCAGAAAAAAATTATTTTTTTAAAATATTAAAAATGTTGCTTACATTCTAACAAATTTCTACATGTATAAGGGTGGAAATATTAATTACATTAAACACCCATCTTTAAAAAGAGTGTTAATTTCTGATTTGTGAATAAATTGTTGCAATTTTTATTTGCATTTATGGCCGTCATTCAGGCAAGACCACCATCTTGGCTTCATATTCAAAAGTTAATTTATACTTCAAACATTGTGATTTGTATAGTTCATTGACAATTTTATATGATAAACTGTTAAATTAAATGATAATTGTTTTTATTTCCAGATTTATCACCTTTCATCTAAACCATCTGAAGCAGATAAAAATGAAAAAATTTCTCAGGAGCCACGAATATGATGTTTATCAATTTAGAATTACACTCAGAGACTTTTTTCCTCCAATTTGGCGCAAAATACAAGTTCCAAGAACATACAATTTTTGGGATTTGCACATGGCCATTCAAAGTGTCATGGGATGGTCAGATTCCCATTTTCATCAGTTTACATTAATGACTCCAACTTCTAAACGCATTAGGAGCAAAGTAATTATTATTCCAAAACTAAAAAACCAGGATGATATAGAGCTTAATAAAGAGAACATTTTATCAAGTAAAGAGGCTTTATTGTCAGAATTTTTTTTGTGTCCAAAAATGAGTCCAAAAGTTGTCTACGAGTATGATTTTCTTTCTGGATGGGAACTTGCAGTTCGTTTTGAAAAATTTGTGGCAGCTGAATCAGGAAAGAAATATCCGTGTTGCATATCGGGTAGTTTGGCATCTCCTCCTGAACAAATCAGTGGTCCTGAAGCTTATAAGGAGTTCCTGAAATACTACTCCAAGTATGTCAAGGAAATCAACCAAGAGAAAGAAGAGAAATGCAAGTGTATTCAAGAATGTATGCATAGTATTGCTCCTCGACTAAGTGTTGTAGGTTTTGATCCAGATGTTTTTAATCCGGAATCAGTAGATTTTTATGATCCTGAATCATTTTGGGAACATTTCGTAAAAAAAGTTATAACTGTCCAAAAAAATTGGATGTTTGCTTCATTTTAAGAAAGGAAAGAAATTGTATGTGAGAAGTCCGACGCCTGTAACAAGCATTTCCTATGCCTTTTTTGGAAATAAATTACTGAAAAGGGTAATAACTTGTAGTAATAAGAGAATCACTCTTAGTTTTAATACTTATGCTTACAGGATTTGGACTACAACTTGAGTACATTGTTTCCTTCTACGATGAGTCTCCTGTGCCAAATAAAAGACATTAGGATGTTGTTAATAAGTTTCATTTGTTTCACACTAGTGGACATCAAAACATACTGCCAAGAAATTCACTTTTGGGGAGATAACACAAGATAACAACCTCTTGAACTACAGAGTGAATGTTTTGATTTGTAGAATAATCATGTGTTTAAAATTCATGCACAAATTACAAAAGTTGTTTTTTTTTGTTTTTTTTTATCAGTGTTGTTACCACTCCCCCCAACTCTATTTAAATTTATGTAAAATTGAAATTGGATAAGACTGAAACAAATTAAAATGTGATGATGGATAATATGGATGGACATGCTCAAAATATTATCATTGTTCCTTACTTTAATCATATTAAAATTGCTGTCAAATAATACACAATATACTTAAATTGTGTGTACTACTAACAAGATTTCTCATGCACAATACACACTATTTACACGACATTACATTATTTTATTTAATAAAGTTTTGATTTGTTGGGTACAACTTTCACTCTGGAATCTTGAGGGTGTTTTCAGCTTTTTTTTCTTTATAGTAGTGGTGCGGTCTTGTTCAAAGAGAAATTGTCCATTGATTCCAATCATTTGAACTAACCCCCTCCTTCCAAATTTGCTAATAGCTTTCCATGAAGTTACGTGAATTTAAAGTAAATTTAAAAGAATAAAATACAGAAATAAGAAAGGTGAATTTCATATATGACAAAATTTGAGGGAGTGAAGATATCCTTTACTCCCTCAGAAGACACCGTTACTTATGAGATTTTGGAAACTTGCTTTCCCTACTTAAAACTTTTGAATATTTTTATGAACAGCTCCTAATAAAAACGTGGAGGGGTAATACAAAATTGTTTGTGCAATTAAACTCTTCACTGTTTCTACAAAGTTTTCGAGAAGACAATCATTATTCTTGTCTGTCAATTATGAGTGCCCAAAACTCAAGAATATTACATGGAAATAAATATGACAAAATAAATAAAATGAAGGTCACTTCCATCACAGAATTACCAACATTAGCCCCATTGTGTCTTTCAAGATAGTACGTAGAGGAATAGTACATAGAGGAATAGAAGCAACAACAATCTTGTTATGTTAATATTATTATTTTCAGTTGATAGCTTTACAGTTTTAAGAAATTCACCCTGTATATCAATAAATATATATTTTATAAATGTAATTTAATTTGTTAGTGGCAGTTTTTGCAGAATTTGTGTGAAAATCATTCCAAACAAATAAATACTTCAGCAATAATTTTTTCATGACCATGTCAAAATATGAAGAAAAATGTGAAAATATTCTTCTGTAAAACTTTAGTTCATAAAACATCCAAAATAAGTTTAAATGTGGTAAATGTGAAATCACATGAATACAGAATGTCAATGAAAAATTCGTCAATCTGATGTAATGTTCTATTTACATTGTAATTTCTTTATTTTAGTGTATTGTTATTTTTTTTCAACTTTAAATGAGTTTTCCTTTGTTCACTGATTTTTACTTTTTATAATAGCTTTAAAAATAAATATACCAATCATATTTCTTACAAATTTTTTTTGTTAGTTTGTTTCTACATTTGTTTGTCAAGTTTATGGACAAACATGCAATGTCTTTCATTTTTTTATTGAACTAAATAAATTATAAAAACAATATCAAATGATTTGCCTTTATTCTAAACTACCTTTTTAGGGCAAGTAACTCTCCTGTTATTCACGTCCAAATTAATTATTCTCTACTTCTAGACCTGTGTTCACTGAAGTGTTAGCTTAAATGAAATACTGTTATGGATATATTTTTTTTTTGTGAATCAGTGAGTTTTAAAAATAATCTCAATGACTTATAATCTTATTCTTTAGATTTCCAGTAGATGTTTTGTAGTTAGAAAATATCACTTGTATCCCTCTTCTAAGTGCAAGATAATATTAGTTTTGTTGTAAATAAATGACAGAAAAAATATAATTATATTACAATATTATTAGGAGTGATTAAACAATTTTGAGTCCAATATTATTCTATTTCTAAAATCTAATTAGGAAATGCAAATATACTTAAATTTATTAATATTACAAAATAACAATTTGTTGTAAGAGATACCAAACACAAAATGGATTGGCCCAACTAAATGTCACTACTACACATTATTTGGTATTGTTTGGGTAGACGTTGATGGATGGTTTTCACATGGTACAAATGGGCTTGTAGCAATTGTACAGGTAAGGTAGTAAGCCTCTATAATTGGCAAATTTAATCTGTAACCATTAAGCAGTTTACCAGTATATTGTATGCTGCAGCACCATAATCATAACAGAAAATTATGAATATAGAAATGAAAATTATAAATAATGAAATATGAATATAATATTTACAGTACTTATTAACTGACATTATGGAAGAATATTTTCAATGTAAAGTTACTTATATATGAATGAATAAATACCTTAACTTTTTGTGTTGACTATATAATTCCCCATAGAACATAAAATCAAAATGCCAAAGTGCAAAACAAAAATACTACTCATAACGGGAAAGTACCCAATCATGCGTAAAATAATTATTATCTTATTCTGAGAAGTAGTGAGCTTCCTTGTTTATGCACTGACTAAAACCAGAAGACTACCAAACACAATTTTGGAATCCCTATATTCAGCATAATTTTATTATCAAATGGCATTGATTTTTACATTTGATAAATAAATTTTATCACTAAATAACAGTTAAAATTACTACTATTTAAGAAAATGTAAAAGGAAGTTTAACATTTAAAACATTATATTCAAGAGATAGAGGAAAGTTCACTTTTATGATGCAGTATAGCCTACATTTAAAGTCATAATGGTTAATTTTGTATTTTAAATTAATTTTAGTAATTTTGTAAAGGGGTATCAAAGGAAATACTTTCTTCTGCATATCAATGTTGAGATTGCACATTTCTTTCTATATTCAAAATTCAACTGGTATACAGCTTAGAGAAGGGATCACAGAATCATGAAAATGTACACAACATTAACTTCTCCACATAGCACCTTACACAGAGTTTTTAACTGTTTTTGATATAAATAAATACAAAGATTTCTGCATGTCAATTTTGTTTAATCACGCAAACCAACAAATTATTTAAAAATACCAATGATCTTGTGACAGTTTTATTTGAAAAAAAAAAATAAATGCCCAAGGAAAATAATAGTAATAACAAATTGCCACACTGGATACTAGGATCGATAAGGCAGTACTGCCGTAGCGGTCTTGGACTGAAGTATTGTGGGTTGGAGTCCCGCCTCTGGCATAGTTGTGCTTGTGTGTCTCTATGTAGTGATTGCACGTTTTATAATTTCCATACCTCATCCCCCAGGGCTAACAACTCTGGGGTGTAATAATGGACTCGGCATAGAAATGCTGATCTCCCAATAAAATCACGTGCAAACTCCCAGGAAAAATGTTACCAGGCCTTAGTGGGTACAACTGCACAATCACATGGTCTGTACATGACCAAATCGCAAACAAAAAAAAATCAACACACAAAACTAAAATAAACTGTACCTAATTGTTCTAGGTTCTACATTTTATTATAAACAATTTTTTGTGCATCACATAAATACTGAATATCACTGATTTCAAATGTATTCAATAACTTTCAATTCATTTTTCAAATAATCATTCATTTTTTAAAGTAAATAGTACATTTTTCAAATTATTCTTTATGAGTGAAGAATTTAATTATTGTCAAATAATTATCTGTATGGGCAGATATAATAAATGTATTTATCTAAATCTATCTGAAATATACCCGTATTTTTTAGAACTTACAAGAAAAATTATCTGATTGTTAATTACTAATCTAAAAGATTGAATCTTATTCAACATTCTCAGAGGATGTGATCATCATCTACAATAAAATGTTTTCACAGTGATTATAGCAGCCATAAAGGCCCAAATCTTGATTCGATTCTATTCTATACTTGAGACTATGGGTGTCACTTCATATCAGGAAAATGCCAAGGCCTTCTTGGCTCACCTCCTCTGCGCACGTGTCCAGAGGTGCATCTTCGGTATGGCAGACATTGCATGTGCCATGGGCACTATTGAGAGTATACCCGCTAAAACAAATAACAACCCCAATTTTAAGTATTCTAATAGGGGTGTAAATTCTATGCTTGCCACGGGCACCTGAATACCTAGATACATTGCTGCTTGTGCCCATTTGGGAAATAAATGGTTCAATTTAACATTCAAAAAATCTTAAAATGTCACATTAAAAATTAAAAATAAATAATAACAGAAAAATGTCATGTTACATTATAATCAACACAGAAAGTTAAGGAATTTATTCATTCATTTACAAGTGCCTTTACATTGAAAATATTTTTCCATTATGCCAGTTACTAAATACTGTAAATATTATTTTCATATTTCATGTCTATGAGGCACTTTCCTAGAAAGATGTGAAAGATATCTCAGAGTAATGGCTCTTCCTTTTACTTCTGTTAGAGAGGCCAAGTATGCAAAAAATGCAGGATCTGCCAATTGGCATGACCTTTCTCATGAAAAGTATTCTTGAAGATACAGACACAGATATTGATATATTCAGAGCATTAGATATGTACAACCAGGCCTCCCTTATATATAATTGTGTCAATAAAGGACATCTTAAGGTGAGGCATCTGTAAAAATTTAATTTTCTGCAAAATTTTGATGTACAGATCTAATTTGTTTTACCACAGATTAAGAATATCAATGGGAGGTTTTACACAAAATTATGTAGCTCTGTACATATTAGTTTATTCATACAAGACATGTAATTTTCAAATATTTAAAATAAAACATTATAAATGACAAAAAACTATCAAAATGGTTCCATTTTTTAATGGCATGTTCGTGAGACCTGTACAAACAAATATTACTAATATTAGATCAATATTTTCAAAGTCTATTTTTAATATATATTGAACTTGTTATAGAAAAACACCATTAAATTCAAAACTATGTTCAGATTTTTTCTGTCTGGAGGAAAACTAAGCAGATTAATTGAAGTAAGTACATTTTCTTCTTTAGTTATATAACAAGCTTCAGTGAAAGTTAAGACCATTCCCAAAATTATAACTTGTAGAGATTTTTAAATACAATAATTTGTGATGAAAATTAGTTGTCAGGTAAATAAATTTAAAGTTGTATTCTTGATTATACCCACTTCAGAAACTGCTAGCTGCATATGATTGCGAGACCTGCAAACTTTTTGGCTTCATTCTGTCTGAATTTAGACTTGTTATTTTTTATTTTATTTTTCCTTCTATTTTACTAGCTTCCACACTTCTAAGTTCCCACCATAGGGGGATAATACCCGTTTTTCAAGTTTTATCCTTACATCACCAAATGTCGTGATCCAGTCGTGGCTAAACCGATAATTGGAGGGGTTCAAATTAATTACGTTAAATGTAGGCAATTTTATCTTCTTTTATTTCACACTAGTGGAACCCGACAGACGTTCTGCCTTTTATCTTCCTTACTCTCTTTTCATCTCCCTCTCTCCTCTCTTCCCCAGAGCAAAAATATAATAGAATGTTCTTAAAGATTTTATAGCAGTGCAAGAAACGTTTCTGCGAGGCCTCAAAATTTAGATTCAACCAATATAAATTCAAAAAACCCTGCCAAGTGTGTTGTGGATTGCATTTGTATATTGCGTGTCAAAATTTGAGCTCAATCAGAAAGAGCTTTTTGAGTTTCTTGTGCATACACAAACCAACATTTATATATAATTATGGTCCTGGTTAATAAAAAAATATTTTATTAGTTCATTTGAAAAAACTGAAAAATGTCGGTATTTTTACTTACTTTTTTTGTTAAAAAAAAAGCTTATTCATGTAAAATTCTTGTTGGCAAGACGACATACTCCAGGGCCGGTTCACTCAATGTTAAAAGGCGGGGGACTAAGTTTGTTTCCTCACTCCCGGACC